GTGAATGCTGGAGAATATTTTCTTTGGAAGATTTTATATCATACAATGCTGACTTTCCTATGTTGAACTCAGCCATTAGTTACAATGAACTTTCACCAGCGTCTTGTCTATTTGAAATTTCCACTTTTTGCGATAACTCCAAAGTTGTCCTTTTCCTCTTATTCCCATCATCGTTTGCACCAATACAAGCCATTAGGGTGAAATAAGCATAAGCAATTATCGAAAGTAAATTTCCTGAAAAACAGAAATTTCAAATCAGTTACATATCACCCAAACAGCCCAAATATACACATCAAAATCATGCCCGATATGTGGGATTCTGGATATGAGGCACTCCAGATATGAGGAATTCTGGTTATGTGGGATTCTACTGTACTTTCCTGAATGCTACAATCTTAACCTTTTCAATTCATGGGTAAATTGATATCTATCCTACTTATCTACAAAATCTTCCTACGACCTCTTTCATTCATATTACACATCTCATTTATCATTGTCATTTTAACAATAACACTCTACCTTGAGTTACTCTTGAGCCTTTTATTGGGTGAATTTTATTATTAGAAAAAAAAAAGCAAACCTTCATTTATATCTTTTTATATCATTCTATGTAATTTGATGAGGCAATAGAAAGTGTTGTTAATTGTACCATATTGTTTTTAATTAGCCTCTTACCAAGTGTTCCAGGAAATAGGACTCAAGATAAACCTTTCCAAAATGGAAACAATGATCTGTAATTAGGATGAAAGCAGTGATGACACATATCCTGAATCCGTCATAAAAATTCAGGATGTGGATTTAGTAAATAGTAATCTATGAATCAGGTATTATAAATTTAGCATCTAAGACAGCGATTTTTAAAAGATGTGGTGTGCCTAATAGGTGAGGCAGATGAGGATAGCAGGTGAGGCAAATGTGAATAGCAGGTGAGGCGGAATGATTGAAAGACAATCAAAGATTTGGAAACAGTTTCCTAAAATTCATATGCCAAAAATAAATATGATTTCAAAATTTAATATATTATTATTGATTACTTGTAATTGCATGCATGAGTTCTAGTATAAATAGTTATAAATAATTATTGACAGATTTTATCATTGTTATATTTGTGCATTTTATACAGTATTAAGAGTATATTAACTAAAGTCTGCAAATTGGAGGAGAGAGTTATCAATGATAATGTTCTGTCTTCAAATTCGCAATTATCTCACTTTAACCCTTTCTCTGTTTTCTATTTTTAAATGTGCTTTTTATATGCTTGTATTCCTGAGAGAAATAGATCAAGGAAAAAGATAGTCCCCATTTTACTTGTATTTCAAAAGACTCAGAAACAATCTTTAAAACTGATTTCGACATTAGATGTAAGTGATGAAGAGGAAGATGTATAAAGATGGGTTTTGATAAAAAAAACCCCAAAAAACAGTGGTTCCCAAACAGTGCAGCGGAAGAAGATAGCAGATGAGCCAGAATGATTGAAAGACGTTCACAGATTTAGAAACAGTTTCAAAAAATTCATATGCCAATATAAATATGATTTCAAAATGTAAAACATTATTATGGATTATTTTTAATTGCATGCATGAGTCCCAGTATAAATAGTTCAAAATAATTACTGACCGATTTTTATCATTGGGTTATTTTTGCATTATATCAAGTATTAAGAATATAGTAACTAGGGTCCGCAAATTGGAGAAGAGAGTTATCACTGATAATGGTCTTCAAATCTGTGGTTATCTCCTTTTAACCTTCTCCTTGTTTTTATACTTTTAAATGTACTTTTTATTGCATAAAATTTGGTGAAGTGTGAGCAAATTTTCAATTCCAAAAATGCAGTCCAGAGAAAAAAAAAGTTTGGGAACCATAGATCTAAGATAACAAAATTGAACATAGAATAGGTTGTGCTAGACGTAGTTTCTGCCAACACTGCAAAATGCTACAAAACCAAAAAATTAACCTAAAACCTTGAGTCATGTTCTTAAATGGCCTCATCAGGTCAAGAATGGCAGGTGAAACCTATAGTTCTCAGTGAGAAGCGATCATCTTCAAACCTTGTGGACTGGTTATAATGTTATCATTTAAAATTGGTTGTCCCTTCTTCATCTTTTTTGAAACACATCAGGATAGCGAAAGATGCCTTCCAAAAGCTAAGTAACGTATTAAGGAAAGCCCTCTTTTCTCATTATATGCTCACATGTTATCATTTAAAATCTTATAAACAAAAAGGCTTAAGGCCACAAGGAACTGCACCAAATAACAAAAATAATATCACTTGGGGGTCTTCAAAAGTAACAACAACTAAAAGAGAATAAAAATAGAACAAAGATATAATCAAGATTCTGACATTCCACATGACTGCAAACAAAAGGTAAGAAAGGAAACCACCATCAACATTGGAAAAGCAGTAACATCGATTGAACTTGAGAAATTATTTGAAGACAAAGATTTTATGATTTTCAACTGATAATGGCACTAACTGCTGGGTCAGTGAAGGCCGAATGTTTCCTTATAAGGAAACCACTAATATTATCATCTGTGAATTATCATTTTATGTGTTCTGTGAGTGTCAAATACTCCAAGCCCTCTTTTCTCATTATAAGCCCGTTATCATCTGTGAATTGTCATTTAATGCATCATGTGAGTGTCAAATTCTCCAAGCCCTTTTTTTCTCATTATAAGCCTGTTATCATCTGTGAATTGTCATTTAACACATCATGTGAGTGTCAAATTCTCCACGCCTTCTTTTCTCATTATATTCCCGGTATCATTTGTGAATTGTCATTTAATGTATCATGTGAGTGTCAAATTCTCCAAGCCCTCTTTTCTCATTATAAGCCTGTTATCATCTGTGAATTGTCATTTAACGCATTATGTGAGTGTCAAATTCTCCAAGCCCTCTTTTCTCATTATAAGCCTGTTATCATCTGTGAATTGTCATTTAACACATCATGTGAGTGTCTAATTCTCCAACCTCTCTGAAATTTCCATTCTTTCTGTTCATAAATATAAGTTTCCTTGTAGATCCAATTTTCCTTAAAACTTCCTCATTACTCACATGTTCTATCCATGGTATTCTCAGCATCCGTCAGTGGAACCTTATTTCTGTTTCTTCAAGTCTCTTCTTCATCTGTTTGGAAATTGTCCATCATTTACTGCCATATATGAGGTTAGATTTTACAAGGTAACTCAGCGTTGTTTTTTTTTTATATGTTTTCAAGTGACGTCTTTCTACAAATTAATATTTTGTTTAGCTTGCTATTATTGTTCACATATAGAAATCAAAATATTTATTTAGTTAAAAAAATAAAATACCTATTTTAAAAAAATACATTTTACTTATGACTTTTTTCTAGTCACAAGCTGCAATTATTTTCTTTTCCTAGCAAAGCATATTTTATGACTTTTCTTCCATGACATTTTTAAACACTGGAACAAGGAATACAATATTTATACTCAAAATGTTATAAGAAAGAGCAATACAGATGCAAAAGGATTCCTACCTATTTTTTTTAAAAATTATGCAAATGATTTTGATAAAGTACGTTAGAAAGTACTGTTGGAAGTGTTAGGCAAGCTTGGTATACTTGGAAAGGACATTAGAATAATCCAGAACATATACTAGGAGCAAACCAACAGCATACGAATTATTCAGTAAATATAAAAAAAAAAAAAGAATGTGTCTTCTTTGATATAAACAGTGTAGTGATTCTGAAAGAACTAGAATTCCTACCAGGATTCATTATTGGCAGCCACAATCTTAACAACATTAGATATGCAGATTACACTATATTGATAATGGAAAGAGAAAGAAAAATACAGAGACTTCTATAGAATGTAGTAAAGGAAAACAAGAAGAAAGGACTAAACATCATTTACAAGAAGACAGAATGTATAGTTGTTAGCAAAAGGGCCAGCCCAACATACCAATTAAAAATTGGAGATGCCAAAATCAATCTAATACAAAAATTTAAATAACTAGGAACTGTTTTAACAGAAGACAGAAAAAGCAACACTGAAATCTAGTGGCACATTTGAAATAGCAAATGATGCCTCACAAAAGTTAAGCAAAGTATTAAGAAATAGGAAAAATGTAGAGATTTCTACAGAATGTAGTAAAGGATAGAAAGAAGAAAGGATTAAAAATCAATTGCAGAATGTGTGGTTGTCAGCAAAAGGACAACCCAACATGCCAATTACAAATTGGAGATGCCAAAATCAATCAAGTACAAAAATTTAAATAACAAAGAAGTGTTTTAACAGAAGATGGAGAGTGTGACACTGAAATCCGAAAATGCATCAGATATAGCAAATGATGCCTTCCTAAAGCTAAGCAACATATTAAGAAACAGGAAAATTTTGTTAGAAACAAAGAAAACAGTACTGAAATGCAATGTGATGTTAGTTCTCCTATATGGCAGTGATTGCTGGAAAATCTCATCACAGATGAAGAAAAGACTCAAGGCAACAGATTTATGGCTCTGCAGAAAGATGTTGAGAATACCATGAACCAAACATGTGAGCAATGATAAATTTTTAGAGAAAATGGAAACAAAAAGGATACTCGAGAAACCTGATGAATCTCAGGAAGAGATTGTTGAAATTTCTAGGTCACATATGAGGAGAGAGGGCTTGGAAAATTTAACACTCACAATGAAAGCAAGAAGGACAAAGGAAAACAGTGCATAACCTACTTAAACCTAATGAGCTGGTGTAAATGCTTGGCAGAACAGGGATCAGGAGATAGCAAAAAGATAAGATTTACTAAGAGCTACAAAGGAGAGGAAATTGTGGAGAGCCGTAATCAAAGCCGACCTTTGTATCGCTGGCACCCCAGGAAAGCTGAATATCGACACTCTTACAAGTATAATTTTTTAAAATGTTCACAAGGAGAAAACCTGAAAATGATTTATCCATTCTCCTCATCTCTAATAGTAATGATAATATTAACCATTTCCTTATAAGGAATCATTCAGCATTCATTACTGAGCAGCCATTTTTCTGTGATGGTGTTTGATTTCGACATTGTAACAGATAGAATTAATAATCAGATTGTCAAAAATTTTACTCTACTCAAGAAATTTAATTTTTTTTTATTATTATTATTTTCACATTTTTTCCTTTTTATTTTGAAGATCCAAACACATGACGTGGTGGCATGATGGCGCCCCGGCCTTGTGGGCACCCAGGGCGACTGCCATGATCGCCCACGTCGTGAAGAAACCCGACACATAGAAGAATTTACAGGTCAGTCTACGAAAAGTGGTTTCACTATATGAAGCATAATAAAAAAAAAGAAGTTTTTATTTACATTATCTGTGATTCGAAAGATTTCATTCAATAAAATTATCGAGCTTATCCAAGACTGGCACAAGGCCACAAATCCGCATTCGATAAAGTCTGATTTTTAAAAGAGTGATTTAGCATTTTTTTTGTAGCCGTTACTTCGCATTTTTTAAAATCTCACTTAACGTTGCATGTTTATCAGCTAATATATATATATAGCTAAGTTTATTTTTGTAGACATTGCCTGCAATATCAGACTTAATTGACTATTAAATGATGCTATCACTAAATTAGTCACGAGTATTTCAAACTTAATTTATCTAATCAACTCTAATCAGCCGTTTTCTGACCTTGCAGTTTTCGACTGTTTTAAAATAAATAAAGTTCGTCAATCATATTTAACTTAATTTCACTTAATTTAAGTTCTTAAAAGAGTTTGGTATCGTCGTCTTTCAGGCAATAATTAGTCGTGTTTTTGTTTTTCTCCTTCCTTCCTTCCTTAACCCAGCAACTGCTACCCAAGTCAACAAAAACTCAAAAAAGACACGTGGTGAATTAAGAGCACGCACTCTCAACAAATAACAGGTAATTTAACTATATTGCAAAAAACCCAACTGTTTTTTAAGTTACTTTTATCTTCTTTTCTTTCTCGATAATTGCTGTGATTTAAAACTTTTCTTTTCTTCTCAAGATCCGAAAACAGATTTAGTTCTCGCCAGGTGCCAATATTTGAATACTTGTGATTTTTGGTGGACATCACGGCGACCTGTTGTGAGTTTTTACAAAACAAACACTTTTTCTACCATATTTGTCATTGCTAGAATTTAAATCGCTTCCAAATTTAGGCATATTTGATTTTTATTGCGTTACTGCAGTCCACGCATTGCTATGTTTTAAAATTTGTTTTTACGTCAAAATAAATTGGTGAATGAAATTAAAATCCAACATTACCGTAAATAAAAAATAAAAATCTATTTTAAACTGAAATTGTCTGTTTTTTTTTTTTTTATACGTACTTTTGTTTCAAACTCTTCATAATATATATATATATATATATTTTTTTTTTTTTTGCGTAAGAAATTAAATTGTTCAATATTTTCATTCCTGTATTTTTTTTTTTTTTTTTTTGGTAATTTCTTTAAAAAAAATCAGGCAATATTTTAGTCGCGTCTCAAATTGTCGTGACAACTGCGAAGATAATTGCAACAGAATTCTGTCAAATGCAAAAATTAAAAAAAACAAAAAACAAACATTTTCCAAATATTTGCTGGTTGTATTTTTATTTTTAACTTATATATACCAAATTTAATATCCTTTTTCTGTTTTAACCTCAAAAAGCGATTTTTTTCAAACCAAACACTGAATTACGGTCGGGTATTATTACCTTATGGTTTTTATCTCGCTTCATATTCTGTCACTCATTTTTCAGAATTTAGAAACGAGGTATGACAAAATTTTTAAAACCAGTCATGTTATTTAATAATAAAAAAAAAAAAAATTAGAGAAAATTTTCTGATTAGTTTTTAACTGGATTGGTTTGTTGTGTGCGAGATTTGCCAAGCAAAAAAAAAAAAAATCATTTGGCGTAAATTTTCTTTCTATCAACTGTTTTAGTTCCCGGTCTATGTTGATTTGGGATCGATTCGGAAAGATGTTTTTAATTACTCCTCATAGTTCTGTAATTTATAATGATTTACTAGCTGCTAGTAACTAGCACAAGGCCGAATGTAGAGAGCACCCAGTGAGAATCGAACTCATTACTCGGTCGTAATCGATCTCGCGAGACACGCTCGCTAAAAATAAAATCATTACACCACGCGAAGTGCCCCAGATCGGTAATTTTTATAAATTTCGACTCGGCGTGATGCTGACTATGTAAAGCAGAACAGGTCACAGATCACAAGAGCGAATCAACCAAAACGTAACACATACCACCAGCCAATGTTTAACGGATAGGTGATCATGTTACAATAGTTCTGTTAGTTAAAATAATGTATCGGGTTCGCCGATAAATGCTGAATATTCTCAGTGCCGAGTAGGACAAAGCAATAATTTATTAAAGTATTTCATAAGAATGTTTAAATTTAATTTATTTTAATTAAAAAAATAATTTAAGTTTATTCAGTACGAAGCCCAATTTTAAATTCCTGTAGAAAGTTAAATAAAACTAAAAATAAAATACCCTACAATACATACAGGCCACTATAGATTTTTGACTTTTTTCTGTGTTTCTTTTCCTGCAACTAACTTTTATTACCGGCTACCAGGCCTTTTATTTTGGAGTGAATTAACACTAACAGAAAAGATCACTTTTATTTATTTTTGAATCCTAAGCAGCAGTGGTCGAAATGGGATTTTTTCTGTTAACAGTTCTGTTAATTCCCCCAATAATTTAATTATCGCAAATTAATTCACCCCAAGAAATTATTTTGAATCAAAGTTTGTTTAGCTTGCCTCGCAACAACTTCAACCCTCAGAATGAAAATTTGCTAAAAATAAGGGGATGATTTAGATTTCGTAAGAGCAGGTGATAATTCGATGTAAGTAAAAGGAATTTTTTTTTTTACATTTTAAAAAAAAAAAAAAAAAATAAAAAAATATAATATTGTGACTTGTTTATCAGAGTTGGTGTGAATGCTGACCCCATACTTAGCACCCGAGTTGCCCACATTTTGGTCAAGTAAGTAGTGCAATAGAAAGGCCTCGCACTGGGAAAAGTTTTAGTAAATATATAAATTCTTTTTATTTTTGGTGTTAATTTATTCGCGGTGAAACAAAAAATCCATGAAATTTGAAATGTTCTATAATTTTTTTTGTTTGCATAACAAAACATTTTAACCTGGGGTTTCTCTCTCTCTCTCTCTCTCTCTCTCTCTCGAGCGGAGTCTGGCTTTGGGGGTGGGTAGACAGCTATCCGACCCACTTTAAAAATTGGCCTTGCGCCACATCTTGCCTTGTGGGGAAGTTGATAAATAGAAAGGACAGCTGTTTTTAATCATTATATTGCAAAAAGGTGAGCGTACATGATGAAAAAATGCCCCAAACTTAATAAAAATAAATGTATTGTCAAAATCATTATTAAGAGAAGAAAGACCAAAGGATTTTTTTCATTATTAAATTATATTTTTTTTAATCCTTTTTAGAACCTTCGAAAATTTGTTAAAAATGTTGTTTTTCTGTGTCAGTTGGTAACCATTAGTCTGGGAAAATTTAACATCATTTTGCAGTGAAAAACGCATTGATTTGGAAATTTTGGTAAAAAAAAAAAAATCAAATGATTGTTTGATTAATGAAACTTCAGAATTTATTCACAAATTAATATTATATATTTTTTTTTTTTTTTAAATGTTTCTTCTTTTTAAAAAATAAATCTCTTTTTTGTAAAAAAAATATTTTTGTTTTACATCTGTTCAGTTAACCTCCACTTAATTTTAGGAAATGTTGAGAAATTCTTTTTTGTAACGTTTTACGGTAATTATTAAATAACAATGTAAAAATGATATTCAGTTATCGTCGGAATTTAGTATTTATGTTTTAAAAGAAAATTTAATTTACTTTAAAACAAATACGACTGTTATCAGGGATATATAAACCATAATTTTATTTTATGATAATTATTAATTTACAACTTCTGTTTGCATCTGTTCTCATCTGATATTATTTACATTGTTTCGGCCGTTGTACTTTCCAACCTTTCTCGGGTGTCTATCGATCCAGAGAATTTTGAAATGAACCCTTTATTTAAATTTCCGGTATGTTGTTCTCATTTTTCCTTTCATGCCGACGGATATTTGATCTTGTTCATTTTTTCCTGACATCTTCCTTATTCCATAAGAAGTCAAAGTTATAACTTTCGTTTTTTTTTTTTTTTTTTTTTTTTTTTTTAATGATGATCAATGCGAAAATCAGAATCGCTAAACTGAGTTTGAATTTCAGCTGAGCTTGTGTTCATTTTTATTAGAACCAATTAAAAAAAAAATAGTGTAAAAAAAAAATAAATAAATAGAAGAAATAACAAGTAATTGTTATATAAATTCATTTTTCATTGAAAAATTTTTTGCCTTCAGACAATTATTATTCATAAAACAATTAAAAAAGCATTTAAAATTAAATGGTGCCTTTGTTTTATTTTTGTTTTTGTTTTTCTGAGTTTTGTATGTTACAAAAATCAGAGCTGATTTTATGTAGATGAGGACCGATTTAAATAAGCAAAAAAAAACAATTTACTTTCCCCAAGGCCTTGTGCTTTTAACTAATAATCACTAAAGGATTCAGCATTGAATTTCTAGAGTTTTCATAAAATTAGTTGGAGTGGGATGTGAATAAATGGAAAAATTACTTTCACCACGACTTTAAAAAGAAGTCATATTTATAATAATAATTTCCATCATTTGTGAATAGTTTCTGAAAGTTTCATTAAAATCCGACAACTAGTTTTATTTTTACAAGATTTTCCAAATTAGTATAAAAAAAATAATGCGGTAAAATATATATATGCGGTAAAATTAAAAAATAATAAAAAAAATGCGGTAAAATTTGTATTATCTAGTAGTGCCCCCTGAACGCAAAGAGAAATAAAGTTTGTTTTTTTTTTGTTTTTTTTTAATCAAAAGATAGAATGTTCTAAAAAGGAAATTAAAAAAAAAAATAATTAGAAAATACTTTTTCTTCTTGATAGTAAGTAACATAAACATTTTGACGATAAAATTTTGATTTCGTCAAGTTTAAGGCCGTTTTTATCATGCTATGCTCATTTTCCAGCGATCTCATGGCGGCCACCAAGCCCAACATGTCTCCCCATCGCCTTGGTCCTCTCTTGATAATAACGAGACCTAGAGTTAATGCTTTTAATTTAATAATACAGTTAAATTTCTAGAGTTAAAATATCCCTTTATGTTGTAAATAAAGTAATTTAATTATTGAAAATATCTGAAATACCTATTATGTGCCAGGAGGTTGCCGATCACGGCTCTCCACATCGTCTTTTGTTACTCCAACTCATGCCACTTTTTCTCTGTGATATTTGTTCTGCCATTCATTTATTCAATTGTTTTATTTTTTAATGTTTAAGTCGGGGCGATCATGACTCCACAACTTCCTGTCTTTTGTTGTTCTAAATAACTCTTTCCCATGTTGTCTTTGAGATATTTTTTTTTATCATCCATTTATTAAGACGTGTTTTTTAAAAAAAATTTATTTATTTTTTTAGTTCACTCAATATAAGGCCCAAGAGCTCTTCAAGCTAGAGGATTAGTGAGTGAAATTGTAAGGAAGGTGGGGAAGTAAGAAATGCATATCCTGCATATTATTAGTACGATAGATATTGGTTGATAATAGACTTGAAGAGGCTAAGGGCAATGGTTAACATTTGTGTCCGCAAAAGGGGCGGCTTTTCCCTTGACACCGCTATTATTTTGTACTACTTTCACTCCCGCAGTAATATTCATTTACAAGATTATAAAATATGTGAATCAAGTACAATGCAGTATTTATTATTTATCATTTTAAGAGGAAATAAATGTAGAAAGAAATCTTTTTTATTCACTGGAACAAATCGTCCCCATTCACTTTGTATTCCATTAGTAAGGAGGAAGTTTCATTTGGACAACTTTTTCCCAAGAACAGTTGCTTTGTGGAACAGACTGCTGAGAGGATGCTTTCCTAATCCATACAATCTTAACCTCTTTAAGTCTAGGCTCAACTGATTTCTTGCCTCTTCCTCTTACGGGCTTTGCAGTCATATCACGTTGAAACACCAGTTCCTGTCTGATCACCGAAGTTAAGCAATGTTGATCCTGGTCAGTACCTAGCCGGGTGACTGCTTGGGAATAACAGGTGTTGTAAGCTTAGATGGACAGGTGGTGTAATGGATAATGGCTCAAAATTGATAATCAGTGATCAGTTCTAATTCCAGTTGGGTTCATTATATTCACTAATGCGCAAATACCCTTGGGGAAGGTATGAATTCACCTATTCCCCCTCCAGCTATGGGTTAACTAGTAAGACTTGTATAACTAAGTCATTACCCCCCCCCAAAAAAAAGAATTCTTAGAATCTAAAATTCTCTGGCTTTAAATAACCTCTAAAAGGTTAAGAAACCGTAGAAAACAAATCAGTCAATCAATCCTCCTTTTACCTTTTATATGCAACAATCTCAATCAGTAACCCTCTGCCTTGAGTGGCTCTTGCATGTGGTGATCTCGAGATGGTTGCATTGTTGCCAGTATGTTGTGCTCACCTATGCTTTCTCGTTGGGTTAGAATATGTGACAATTATAGGGGAATAGAAATATGTGAGCGTAATGCTAAAAAATAACCCTGTCTCACCGGCTGTGGCTGCAAGTGTCAGGGTATGTTTACCTGGTACATGCCGAGGAAATTTTTAAAAAAATATTAAGAAGCTCCATGTTACAGGGAGCCTCTCCGTCTTCAAGCATTACTTCTTCTGGAGGAGGATGGGTTTATTGCCCGGCGCCTGAGGTATCCCCAAAAGAGGAAGTGCCGGTGGGACTTGGGTATTCCCCCACTTCCAGTATTGTCGTTAAACCTTCTTTAAACCTCAGCCTTGTGTCACATTCGGTAGCGACTTGAGCGCGCTGAAAATACTCTATCTTAATAAAGTTCAAACGATTTTCATGACAAAACGGATTTACCCCCCTTACATCAGATGTAAATTAAATTTATTTGCTTTATTTATTTATTTTTTATTTTTGTAAATTTAAACTGAAATTGATTTCGACATTCGTAACTAACAAGTCTCAAGAAAATAAAAAAGTTTAACGAAATGGGAGGTGAAATGTAACAAACGCCTGTTACAGTTTAACTTGGGTACCTCCACTAATTCGATGAAAAAAATGCATACCATGATGAAAAAATAAATAAACAAAAATAAAAAGTTTTATTGTCAAAATGTTTTATATTCAAGAGGAGAGGCCAAATTATTTTAAAAAATTTTTCATTCTTTTCTAACATGTTCGAAATTTTGGTTAAAACTCTCTGGTAAATACCGAGACCACAAGTGACGCCCCCCCCCCCACGACCATTTTCAGGCTTGTGCCAAAATTGTATTTTATTTTTATACAATAAATCTTGAGAACAATTCTGGAAAGAAGACGCCCGTAAGAACTTTCCATCCCTGAAAAGTGTACACTCGTGCGAAGAGTACACCCCCAACCACAAAGTTTAGTCCTAGGCGAGTGCTCCTTCTACCGCGAATGTCGGATTGCTCTCAAGGGCGACGGATAGTCTCTCCGACGTTTAGGCGTTGTACCGAATAACAGCTTTCCTCCATCACGAGAGGTTCCGTTCAAGATGATTCGATAGCCGAGCTCAGTACTAATATTTAGTTTACTATTTACATTTTTCGGACTATTGTCCTCATCTTTGTCGCCATATTTATTACAACGTTTCGGCCGCTGTACGCTCCGGCCTTCTTCAGGTTGTTGGAATGTCGAACTGAAGCCTTTATTTCGCTCTCTGGGGTAGACTGTTCTAGTTCCACGTGCCATGTCTAATGGATGTCAGTTATTTCCTGTTAATTCCCCTCTCCAAGTTCTCCACTGCCTTAACCGGGTATTGAACTCACACTCTTTGGGTCATTATTATTATTATTTAGTTTCTTGTAAATAGCTTATTGTAGTTTATACTTATTAGGCTTTAGATTTTTAAATTGTTTTATCACCCCAATACAAACATTGTACATATGGGGACTAGATAGGCCTTCAAAGAGACTCTGGGGTATTATGGTGGATGTAGTTAGAATGGTACATAAGAATGTATTGTTTTCGTGTAAGGAATTTATTGTGGTAGGTTTGTGATTGTGGCTAAGTTTAATTTTAAGACGGAAGAAGATAGCTTTCCTCCATCCCTCCTTTTGGCCCTGTGCCACATTTTTGTATGTAATGCAAAATAAATAATGAAACCAAATTGGACGTCAACACCGGCAAGCTGAGAGAGAGAACAAAGATAGTTATCACTAATGTCCATTTCACTTCTAATTTCACCATTCACTCTCCCTGCTGCTTTAGCAACAGATAAAATAAAAGTTACTACTTTGTGGAAATTAGCTTTTATTTACTCATAATCAATGTATTCTTTTTACTTGGCTTTATGCTTGCTGAGACGAAATAGGAATTACCTCCACAACACAACTAAGTTTCATATAGAATAAAAAAAAATATCTATAGTAAACTATTGGTTATATAAGGGTAATGATAATTTATTATTAAGCATAAATTCCAGTTCCTTTATTACACTGCTGGTGTTCCATATTTTTTTTTTCCTATATATATATATATATATATATATATATATATATATATATATATATATATATATATATAATGATTTATTTAAAATGTTTTTTTTTTCACTACAAAATTAAATTCGTAGCTTTTAGCTTCCATTTTTGAAACATGGTTAGAACTGTGTAGCGAAAAAACATTTTAAATAAATCAATTTATAATATTAATGCTCTGTAAATTTACACTGAACACTATTTTGTAAAAAATAAAAATATCTATAAGAACACCGGATTATATATCTTACTGTTCTTTATTTTTATACGCGCCCTTCTTAAGAGTGGGGTTTAAAAAAAAAAAAAAAATTACAGTTGTGATCTATGATGTCACAGGTTTCCGTGCGTAAATAAACGTTATTTCCATTTATGTTTTTTTAAGCAAAAAATAAGCATAACGGTTTTTACAACATTCAATTTAATTTATCCTCAAATTTACTAATTTCGTTTATAATGTCGGTTCGGGTCCGATGAGTGAATGTACCAATGTTTAACTGAATGTCAAAAATCTTTAATTACAGACTGGAAATAATTTTTCTTTTAATGCGGATTAGCTTTAGGCTATTAAACCCCCCCAAAAAAGTAATGCCAAAATTGACATTCATTAAAAATTTAAAATTCTTTAAAATGCGTTTTGTTTTTTTTTAATATTTATTTAGTCTTCTTACTCTTCTTAGCTACTTTAAATTCATACCACATGAGTATTCATTTGATTGTTCTACAACAGTAGCGGAACTATCCATAGCAACATGGAATCGTGAGAGTATTATTAATTTTTAAAAGCATTTAAATAATAAACAAAGGAATTTCTGAACGATTTAATTTTCATGAAGTTGTCTTTTCTTTCTTAAGTTTAAAAAATCAGAACTGCGCCCCTAATGTTCGAATGGCAGTGGAGACTTCTACTTTAAAAAGGGGTGTGGAAAAAAAAACATTTGAATGCAAATTTCATTTACATATAGTGAAAATACGATTTATTTATTGAGGTCATATATTGTTCAATACTAAATGCATTTGAACTGTATTTTTTCCTGAGAAAAAAAAAAAGTGAGGCCTTAGTTTTATTGCGGTTGTGGATAACAATAACATTCGTAAAAAGTTTTTACATCTTTTTTTTTTACTTTTTATTTCAACCATAACTTTACCCACTTAAGTCTTGAGGTTTTGATTGTTTTTTTTTTAATAGTTTCGAAAATACGAGAAACACCAAGACATTTCTAGAAAGTTTTTAGCATATAAATCTAATTAAAAAAAGAAAATGAAGATTAATTGTTTGTTGAGATTATGATTTGCCCCTACCATGTAAGAGAATAAAAAAAAAATCATAGCTATGATTTCATTTAATTTTTAAAAACTTGTAAAGTTTCAGAAAGCAAATCAATTACCCGCAATCGACCATGATAACCTTAGAGCTACACACGCAAATGAATATTTACCAACTTTCTCTCTCACTCTTTCTGGGTGACGAAAAGTTAGGCTTGAAGCTAGTTTTTCTAGTTCATTCTGTGTTTATTTTTCTTTTTTTTTTTTTTTTTTTTTTTCTTAGTCCTTGCCGACGACGACGAGTGAATTTGAGTCTGGTCGCTTTTTCTAGTCGATTCAATTATGAGCGGTATAGTGACCCCAGTTATTGAACCGGTCTTCTCAAAGGTCACCGAAGATGTTCCAGGAGCTGAAGGGCCTGTTTTTGACAAAAAGGGCGATTTTTATGTCGTAGCCCCCGGAGTTGAAAATGAAGGAAAACCTGCAGGAGAAATCCTTCGGATCGATTTGAACACAGGAAAGGTAAAAATAAAATATTTTATTTATTTTCTTTTTTTTTTTTTTTTTTTTTTTAACTATATTTTAAACCCCGACTTTCACTTTTAACTTATTTCGTGATATTATTATTTTTTTAATTATTATTTTTTAAATTAGAGATTATTAAAAAAAATAAATAAATAAATAAATATTACCTGTAAGTTGACTCGCTCTTATAACGGCTTTGGTATACTGAGTCAGAGGTCATTTTTTAAGTGAGTTTGAACCTCACAGTGTTTAGTGTGACGTTCCACATTTTGTTTTTTTTTTGTTTTTTTTTGTTTTTTTTTTTGTATGTCTAAGTTCGGATGATTTATTATACAGATTAATATCTACAAGATTTTTTTTGAGTTCTTAATTTCCAGTATTCTCTAAAAAGCGCTAAAATAAAATTGAATTCTACTATTCGTAAAAAAATGATCACTCTCGGCTGGGGCCATTGGAGAAAAAATATGGAAGCCCGAAAACTTTCTATGGCCCAAGAATAGACATCACTGAGGAAGCATTCTGGTGCACAATCTATGTGTATATAAAACGAACATTATTGTTATTATTGGCGATCTTGTACTTTCTCCAGTCTTAAATTATTTTAGACCACCTCGCTAATGTTTACATCGCTTACATGACTAACGAGAAAAAAAAGCCATCTACGAAAATTCAAACCACATTCTTGAAAAACTTATTTTTCAACAATTTGAATTTGATTTATTATGCTAGCCGCCTTGAAAGGTTATTCTGCGTTGTTAACTTCTTAATTTGGTTAAGTCTATTGAACTATTTGTATCTAAAATTCTCAGTGGTGCACATAAATCTTGCCACTGTGGAATAACAACTTTTTAATTAAAATTGTGATTATGAATAAGAATTTTGAAAATGTAAAGCACGATTAAAAAACTGTAAAATAATTGTTAAAAATAGTTTCAGCTAAAAATTAAAACATCAAATTCAAAATCCTTAGGTATTATTATTTAAATTAAATAAAAAAAACTCAAAAAAGGTAATTGTTTTTATTTTAAGCTTAAAAAATGAAACCCATTTCATAATAAAATGTCAAATTCTTAGTTACTGTTTGAATAAAATCAAGAAGAGGCAAAAATAGGAATCTTATCGGATAAAGAATATCACTTGAGGAGGATTTCCTTCTTTCTCCTTCTGGGAGGAGAGGAACCCAGACGAGGCTATGCAGAAGGGCAAAGTCTCGTTTGGGGAGGTAGACCCCGTGTATAGTATACAAGGTCTACGAGCAATTTTTGCCCGAGTCTATCGGCTTGGAACGCCCTCCGTTAAAAAACTGGCCTTATGCCACATCTTGCCTTGTGGCGAGGTTCATAATGTCACTTATCTTTTTTACTTTTTTTTTTAAGTAATTAGTTCCGATGGCATTTTCTTAAAAAATGAAAATGTTTTTTCGTCTTTTAAATTATTCATTTATTGTGCATAACACGTTTCACTTTTCTTTTCTGTTATTGACATACTTGGTACAGGTTTTCGATTGTCAGTTACAAGCAATGTTCTTTCATTTCTTTTATTTTTTACTTTTCGCTTTTCCATACATAGAAAATGTAAACATTACTTAGACTATTTTTCAATGTTCGTCACATCGTGTGACGATTATTTGAAATTGCTCTTCCAAATGATGGATAAAAAAAAAAAAAAAGTCTCTAGATTCAGTAATTATTAAATTAAATTATCCTTTTTTGGGGGAACCAAATTTTTTTTTCTCTTTTTTTTTTTTTTTTTATTTATTTTTAATAGTTTTCTTTTTAAACTCTTCCAGAGTATTCTTTTTAGAATGTTGACAAAATAATTTTTTTGTACTTGAAATAATGTTTATTTTCCATGGTAATTTTTTACAAAGCACATTCATAATCCTCCTTTTAATTTTTAATTGGTGAGAAATTTCGTAGTAACAAGCACTTATTCGTTTGTTACCTTTTGAGACATCAGTATATTTGCTGACTACTTTAATTTTTTTAATGTATGGATGCACAAATTTGAAACTTGACACTTTTTCGCCACCTTTAATCCTAACAAAAAGTGAAAGCGAATTGCATTGGACAGAAAAGAATTTTCTTGTTTAGCCTTAGTTGAACTTTTAACTGACATTCTTTAGGTTGGAAAAATTGAACACACGTCTTTCAGTGGCATGCATTTCAAGGCCAAGCATTTAGAACCTGTCACCACCAAAAGGCCACAAATATGTAGAAAAACTTTTACAAACTTATCCATGAGGACCATTGACAAGCAATCTATTAGATATTTCATGATTGAAATTGGAGTGTTTGTGAAGAAACACTTTACTAATCGGTATAAATTAAGATATAAGTAAAGCAAACAACTTGGAGAGGGATGGGCTCCGCCAGGTTAAAAGCCCGAAACATGCCACATTGATAAGCACACCAAGAAACCATTCATAGAGACTCAGGCTTTGGCATACTACTGCGACAAATGTAGGTTGAGTTAAGGGCAAAAGAAGAAAACAAAAAAAACAAAAAAATCAAATTATATCATACGCATTATCAGAAAAGATACTATTAATTAGTCAGTTTTAAACACAATGGGTCTTTTTAATGAAAAATGTTAATATGCTATATCCATACTGAATGGCCCCCAACTATGGGTTAAATAGGACTTGTATCAGTAAATCATTATTACCTTCAAAAAAACTCACAATTCAAAAATATTTTCTGGCTTTAAATAACCTACAAAAGGTTGATAAACCATTAAAAAACCAATCAATGAAGCCCTGCTGAGTTGATTTATTTTATCTATTTTGAGCTGTCTCAGATATTCACGAGTCTATCACAGTCCTGATAGTCAAAAGGTCGTTGGTGAGTGGGATGGGGTATGCTATGTTATAACATAGCTGGTCAATATAGATCATTGCTGGGCGACCAATTTATTTTTTCTCCATGGCTAGTTCTTGATTTGCTTGCAAGCAGTTGTCCTGAAGAGCATGTTCTGTGTTTATATAAGATTTGTACAAATATCAGGGCTGGGTCCATAGAGCTGTCATTTAATTAGATCTTGTCTTCAGATGTTAAGGCGCCCTGGGTATGACGATAAACTAGATCCAACAGCAAAGCCCCTGATCAGGAGGTTCCCAGGTCCACCCTGACCCAAGGTGGTAGCACCTGTTAGGGTCCCAGTTATGGGCAAATAGTTAACCCCCGAAACTGAGGTAAAAAGCATTATAAAAAGTATAAAAATAGGTTTTAATACCAGAAATAAATTTTTGTAGAAGAAAAAAAACAAACTATTACCAGCAATATATTTTTGAAAAAAAAAACAAAAAAATATTACCAGCAATACGTTTTTTGAAAAAAAAAAAAAAAAAATATATATATATATATATATATATATATATATATATTATTACCAGCAATACATGTTTTAAAATAATATTACTAGCTATGTTTTTGAGGAGAAAAAATATTACCAGAAATAGACTTGACAAAACAAAATATTACCAGAAAAAAAAAAAAATAGTTGTTGGCATTAAATAACCCATTGAGGTTGGTATTTCGTAAAACACAACAAACCAAAATCAGATGTTAAGCATACCTGTCAGCATTTGAGTGTAGCTTCCATCAAGCTTAGACACTAGGGTTTTAGTTAATGTCCGGGCATTGACACCATACATTAACACCCTCTACAGTGGCTTAAAAGAATTTCCGTTTGTATTTGTCTGGTAGATCATATTTCCAGATTGCATCCATTTTATTCAAGATGGCTTATGCTTTATTTATGCTAATTTTCTCCTCTTTTCAGTAGAATTCATTTCACTTCCTAGTTATGTAAAAGATTTGACGGATTTTAATGATTCACCTGTAACAGTTTGTACTGAGCCTTGCTGGTTGAGGCTTATGAATTCAGTTTTAGAGGCATTGATATAAAGTCTAACAGCATTGGCAACATTTTCTAGATGATGTAGGAGAACTGTGGCATTGGTAATTGTGTATGCAATGATAGCTAGGTCAACAGCATAGTCAATATCCGTCAATTTTATTGCAGGATATCGACATTATCTTGGTGATAAAGTAAAACCTAGATGATGATATTTGTCAAAGGAAGTTCTCATTATGTAGTCAAGGGTGATAACAAAGATAAAAGGTGCAATGGTATCACCCTGGAGGACCCCTGTTTTGATTTCAAAGAGGTTATTTTCTGGGGATCTAACCAAAGTTTTGGTATTTTTGTGTAGCATCATTATGGTAGTTACTGCTTTGAGTGGGGTGGGGATCACGCTTTACACAAGTATGTACAGTCAGTCATGTGCCTTGTGTGATACACACTTAGGCGATCATCTATCTTTTGATACATGACTGGTGAGGCTGTGTTTTTCCCCTGTAGGTTGTCATTTCTTTCTGCAGTAGACCAGTTGCCATCCAAGGTTATAGAACCTGGTCTGTCCTGCTAATTTACCCATAGTTGGGGGAAGAAGAGGATTCATACCTTTCCCAAGGGTATTAGCACATAAGTGAACGTAATGGATTCATCTCAATTCAAACTCCTCATCCGAGCTGCTATCCATGACTCCACCGTGCATCCCAGGTATATACAGTAACTTATAATTTATGGAGAAAGATAAAAAAATTACATGGCATTTAAAACATATATCAAATTATTAATCTGCTAAGTCTCAGCTTTTAAGTTTGTATAGCTATTAGAAATTTTATACTCTTTAATTCATTTTAGAATTAAACCAAGTATTTTTTTGTTAAATATTTGCATGCTTTTTGTGTCTACGATGATGTCCTCCTGATGTATAAATAAAAGGACAATATATCAAGTAGTCAGACCTTGTGAGAGTCCATGTGATAATACAAGTAACAGCTGGATGTTAGTCTGAGTTGAAGTCATTAAGAAATCTACACTTTATCTGCTTTCTTCTTTTCCTTTAATTTGTGGCCCTGTTGCTGCATGCTTTGCTGAACACCGCTCTTACTTTGGTCTGTGTCTGATAGTCCATCACATGCGAGTCT